TGTCAGCACCTGGAGAGGTCGTAGGCACTGGGTGGGTGCTGCCAGGTCCCCTCTCTGTGCCTCTGTCCCCCTGGGGCTTGGAGGGGATTGTACTTGAAACACAGGCTCGTGTCCCAGCTCCCCAGCAGCCACCAGCCAGAACAGAGGCAGCCAGCACAGCAGCAACGATAGGTAATTTATTTTATTGCATTTTATAATGCCATTGTCCATACAGATTACATGCAGCTAGACCTACTGTACAAGGGTTTACCGTCTGCCAACGCAGACACACGGAAGTTCAGAGTACAAATACACAGCAAGGCTATTTCCTTTATACAGCACGAGGGACGCGGCAGCCGAGGCGGGAGGAAAAGGGTCACTTTGTACACGTCCTCCCTCCCCTCCACCCTCCAGCCCCCCCTCAAACCTCATCCCACCTCCCCAGCATCCCCTTCCCACCCAGTGCCAAAGAGGATTGGGAAAAAAAAAAGTGTGTGGGAGGGATCAGGAGAAGGTTGTGGGCACTTCCCAGGGGATGGGGATGTTCCCAGCCTGGGCATCTGTGTCCCCCCCATCCCCCCCGGGGCCATCACAAGCAGCCTTGGGAGCAGAGGGTCCCCAAGCCTCTGGCTCTGGCCTGTCCCTACCTTCCCCAACTCTTCCAGGACAAAAACCTAGATCCAGGGAGATCCTCTTGGGCGGTGAGGCTGGCCAGGTGTGTAAACAAAGCAAAGAAACCCTTTGGTTTAATGCAGGTTTAGCTGCTGCTTTCCCTTCACCTCCTCAGCAGCATCCCAGTGCTACCAGCACCCTTCCCTTCAAGCACTGGTTTCTGACCCCCTTCCCCCCCAGCTCTACCCATTCAAGCTATTTGGGGTGAAAAAAAAAAAAAAAGGCAAAATAAAGAAAAAATGTGGAAAACTGAGTCATTCCTTCAGTGAGAGATACCAGAGAAATGCCTTTACTTACAGAGAGGTGCTCATCCCTTCCCCTCAGAGAATTACTTGAGGGTGGGAAGAAATGGGAATAAAACAAAACCTAGAAAAAAACCCCAACAACCCAAAAAGAACAATTCCTGTTGGTAGGTTTAAACCCAGGATATATATATCTCAATATATACAGACATACAATTCTGTCATACATCATGTTTGGTCCTTTATCCTTCCTCCTCCTCCCTCCCTGCCTCTGGCCTGTGATTGAGGTAAGATGCACAGAATTTTGTTAAAATTCAAACCAGCAAAAAATAAACCAGAGGAGTGAGGGGGGGGGGGAGTGCAGGTGAGGCCAGGAAGGAACACAGTACCTGGGTTCAGAGAGGGCTCTGCAGAGGCAGCTGGGCTGGGCAGGGGGTAAGAGAATGAATTAAGTTTACCCCTGAGTATCAAACTGGCCACGTTTCCCATGAAATTCACCCACCATGATTCCCATTTCGGCAATGGTCAGGGAAGATGCATCACCTGGAGCCACAGGATTTTCCAAACCTGTGCATGTGTTTAAAGAAAAGAACCTCCTTTATATTTTTATATTATATATATATAGTATATATATATATATAATGTTCCTCAGAACCAGGATGGTGGCTAATGACCTATAGGAATGTGGAGGGAAAGGTGCCAGGTTGTCCTCAGGGAGGCTGGGGGTGATGGAAGGATGGTGTGCAGGGATTTTGGCTGGGCCCAAGGAGCTCTGGAGGCAGGTGGGTTGTCCCAGCTCTGGGAGGCATTTTGGGGATGTTCGTACCTCTGGAAAAGCTTCATGTTCCTCAGAACCAGGATGGTGGCTAATGACCTATAGGAATGTGGAGGGAAAGGTGCCAGGTTGTCCTCAGGGAGGCTGGGGGTGATGGAAGGATGGTGTGCAGGGATTTTGGCTGGGCCCAAGGAGCTCTGGAGGCAGGTGGGTTGTCCCAGCTCTGGGAGGCATTTTGGGGATGTTCGTACCTCTGGAAAAGCTTTTTTTAAAAAAAAAATAATAAAAAAAAATCCCCCCCTGAGCTGGAATTGTTGTGGGTGCAGGAGGGCTCACTGGGTGTTCTTCCTGCCTGGACCACTGGGATTTTGCTCAAATGTAGAGAAACAACAGGGGGTTTGTAGAGCTGCTAAAAATGAAGAGCATGAGAAAGGGGAGGGGAAAGGGCCCAGGAAGAGAAAACATTACTCAAACAGTGATCCCAAACTGATCCCAAGCACAGTCCTGTGGATGTGGGGAAGGACCCTCCAGTGAAGCATCCCCAGCAGAGGGGGGAGCTGGGGCTGCAGCACCCACCAGCACAGCAGCTCCTGCACCCATGGGAGCCCCTGCAGCACCAGCTGTGCCCTCCTGCATGAGGTTGCAAAACCTCCTGTTCCACGGAAAGGATGAAACACACCAGTAGTGGAGCACGTCTGTGAGGCCACATCATTCCCAGCCCAAGCCCAGGTGGTTCCTCCCCAGGGCCACCAGGATGTCCCAGACACAATGCAGCAGCACAAAGGGTGACAACCAGGTGCTGGCATTGCCATAGAGAGTCACAATCACCCCTTGGTGGGAGATGTGACCCAAAAACCCAAAAGCCTGGATGGAGGGGGGGAGATGCCCCCCACGAGGGTCACCAGCAGGCCTGGGTGGGGGGGGGGGGCACCCCAACATCCCTCCCTGCTCCTTCCTACAAGTCAAGCAGCAATGAGCAACACCAACCTCCCTCCAGCAACACCTGCCCGCAGCAGCTGGAAACTTGGTTAGAATAATAACTTAAAATGAGAAGACTGGAAAAGAAAAAAATAAAAGAAGAAAAAAAAAAAGTAAAAGAAAAAAAAGGAAAGCATTTGGGGAAAACACGTGGAGCCTCCGACCCCCATGGGTGCCTCGGAGGTGGGGGTTTGGTTCGTGCTCCCCAGCCCGGGCAGGGTCTTTGGTGTCCGGCAGAGCCTGGAGGGATCCAGGAATGAGCCGGGAGAGGCGGGGGGGTCACAAAGCTCCTCCCTGCGCTCCTCCCGGCAGCAGCGATGGAGGGAGAACCAGCAAAGCTGGGGCGAGTGGAGACACCTAGTGAGGGCTGGGGCCAG